GGGGCCGCGCGGCCGCCGGGGACGCGCACGGGCTGGTCTCTGCCCTAATGCGGTGGCTGGCGGCGAGAGGCGCTGCAGGGGACTCGGGGGAAGTGGCGGCGACCGCAGCGGACAGCACGGACTGCGCCCCGAGCCGGAGCCCGAGCCCTCGGAGGTAGGCGAGCGCGGACACCCGGGAGACCAGGTGGGGGTCAGCCGGGGGTCACGGAAGCCCGTCTACCCCCTGGTTCCCGCCTCCTCGGTCGTCTCCATCCTCCAACCTGTCCCCCTCCCCCTCTGGCCACCTCCCTTCTCCTCCTCCGCGCCGCTGTCACCTGCCCCGGACCCATCCTATTCTGGCGTCGCCCCCAGGCACCCCGTGCAGCCCCTCCCTCGCCCACTCTACACCCTTTCTCGCTCGGTGCCTGCATCCCCTCCCCTTCCCGCACCCTCATTCTCTTCCCCCGTTCCTCTGTCCCCGCCTCTGTCATCCACGGGCCCTGCTGGCCCTTAGGCCCCTATTTCCCTCAACACCCCACTCTGCATTACCCCACTTGTCCTATTTTTCCTACCCCACACATCAGCCCTTCTCTTGCCCTCCCCCACGCCTTGCCCCTGTCACTCCTCTGAGAGCTCCCTGACCGTTCTTCCGCCCTCCCCCAGATCCCCTGCACAGCCCATCCCGCCCCTTGCCGGCTGCCCGGTCTCCTCAGGACCGTAATTCCTCCCAAGCACTCCGTCTTCTCCCCTTGGCTCCCAGCTGGCCTGCCACCCAGTTCCTTCTCTCTACTCGCCCTTCCTGGGGCAGCTTACACCAGGTGGTTGTCCTTGGCTCCCTCGCTGCCCCAGGGTCCTTCTTCGCGGCTTGGGGAGGCCTAGGCCTCTGAATGCTGGATGGACTCACTGTTGTGGTCGCAGTCCACTTATAGCCGTGTCTGCGCCTTGATCCTGGCCATGGCCTGGGGAAGGGTGCCGAGTGTCTGCAGGCCTCTTTGCATTCCCAGCCAGCCTCCCCTCCCCTCAGCTATTCAGGTTTGTTTCCTAGATGGCCTCCGAGGGATGCTAAGCGCAAGGATGGGGAAGGGCAGGTTCAAGGGGTGGCCCAGTAGGTTCACCCTGAGTCCTGTGTGGAACCCTAGCGGGTAAGGGCCTGGATGAATGCCCTGCCAGAGGGCTGGAGAATTGGGCACTTTAGACGGGACTTTTCCTCAGCCTGCAAGTCAGCACTTTGGCATCAGGCGCCGTCTTGAGTGTGGCCCAAGGCTGACTTGAGAGTGGGCAGAGTGCTGAATCACCTAGACTCTGGTCCCCACTGCAGCCCCTGTTGCTCCGAGCCAGGGTCTGCTTCTGGCTCCTTCCTTGGCTCCTGGCTTGGGCCATGTGTGTGTGTGTGTGTGTGTGTGTGTGTGTGTGTGTGTGTGTGTGCTGGATGGAGAGGCCTCCTCCCTTGGTCTAGAGGAGTGGATGACAGTGCCCCCTTTCTTCCTGTCTCTCCGCCTGGCATGAGGGGTACATGAGGGCCTAGCACATCTCATCTACCCTTGGAACTGTAGTGAACGCAGCTGGGCCCCAGTCACATCTCCAGCAAGGCAAGGACAGGCTGCATAAAACTTTAAGCAGAAGCCAGAGCCCAAGGAATATGTGTGCAGTTGGGACATGGACTGTGTCAGCTGTGAATGTGGGCTGTGGGGAGAGGAAGGGAGGTGAAGGTCTGTCCTCCCTCTGGCTGAGGATGAAGGGTCTGGAGGAATCATGCTGCAGGAAGAGTTAAAGATGAGTGGTCTGCAATGCACAGAATGTGTTCTCCCTTTGTCTTGACTGAGTGGCCACTTTGGAGGGAGTTATTTCCCTCCCTAGTCTTTGAGTTCAGCTGAAGGGGTGTGTGTGTGTGTGTGTGTGTGTGTGTGTGTATGTAGAAAGACAGGGAGAGAACACAAATGGGGAAAGACATTTACACAAAGCTCCAGAAATTGTTTGTCACCATGAGGTAGGCAATGACAGTCCATTTCCTGCCCTGGGGACCTCGGCTGAAACCCAGACGCTTGAGTTGGGAGGTGGAGAGCAACTGCAGACAGACCCTGCCCCTTCTCCGGGAGGCTTCCTCACTTTGGAAATCTGAGTGGTCAGACACCTTCAGATGATATGTGGTAACCCAGTATGGGCCAGAGACCGGACCTGTCCAGGGGGTGTGCATTCTGGCAACCAGTGGGGGTGGGGCAGAAGCTTCCCCTGGCATCCGTGTTTCTGGGCTGCCAGCTTTTCCTGGTACAGGGAGGAGGCATCACCTGCAGCTGTTGTCGCAAGCTGATTGGATAAAGGTTCTGACGTTGAATCACTTGATTGGGGCTTGGATAAAGTGGGGGATTCTGATAACAGCATACTTATTTCTCAGTTCTGGGCACTGCATCTTACCTCTCACCCCCTTGTTTGGCATCTCAGAGGCTACAGAGGGTGAAACCAGGCACACAGAGAAAAGAGCCAGCTCCCCCGAGAGCTGGGCAAGACCTGACACTTGTGCTTCCCTGGCTCCCTGTGGGCTGAACCGGCTGTGCCTGTGATAGCTGGTCCTTTCACAATGGAGAAGTAGCTGGAGTTTTGGTTTTGGATTTGGATTCTGAGGGGACCTAGTCAGAGCAAGATCTTATTTCTGCAGTGACTGAGGGACAGGATTCCAAAGTTCTGATCATGTTTTTGCAACTAGTTCCCCACTTCTGGCAGGAACTTAAGGCAGGATGCAGCTTCCTCATTTCACAGATACTCATTCAGCTTTATGTGCTCTTCTGCTAAGTGCCAAGATTGTAGAGAGGGAAAGTAAAACAGAGTGAAGTCCCTCAGTGCTCCCAGTGTGATGGGAAAGGGAGACAGGTCATCAGACAGTGCAGGTGATGGTATGTGGACAGGGGTGCTGGACAGCTGGATCTGAACTCTGATGGTATTGGCTCCTCTTACCCACAGCCATGGAGAGGGTTCCATTGATTCCATCCAGAAAGTTTTGTTTTTGTTTTTGTTTTTGTTTTTGTCTTTTTGAGAGAGGGTCTGGCTATGCAGTTCAGGCTGGCCTTGAGCTCACTTTGTAGCCCAGGCTGCCCTTGAACTCGCAACAGATCCTCCTGCCTCAGCCTCCCGAGTGCTGGGATTACAGGCATGCACCACCATGCCTGGCTCCATCCAGAAAGGAACGATAGGTCCATAGCTCCAGGCTGACCCTGAAGTTGGCTGTCAGGAAGAGGGTGGAGCAGGAAGTGAGATTCATGGTGCATCAGGTCCCCAGCCTGAGAGACAAGGGGGGGATGCTGTGTGGGTAGCTGAACAAGCCCCCTCCCAAACTGCTGCAGCCCAGTGGGGAAACCCTGTAGGGAACTATGGGATGAGGTCAGGGCCACTTAACTCTTTCTACTCTATCTCTTAAGCACTTGTATTTCAAGGCCAAAATGTGGAAGTGCTTAAAATGTCAGAGCAAGTCAGAGGAAAGAGGCCTGCCTGCCCTCAGAGAGCTCCCAGCTACTGGGGAAATAGCAAGTGCGTGCAAGAGGATCATGCACAGAAGCAAATATCGTGAGCTCTGGTATGTGTGAAAGGATCTTGGAGTTGTGAAAAGTCATCAGGGAGGTCCAAGCAGGGGAGGGGAGGTTGATGGTAAGCAGAAGACACCCTCAGAAGTTAAACACTCAAGCACAGGTTACCTGGAACACCCATTGCCAAGCCAGGAGAAGAACCCAAAGGTGGAGACTCCCAACCTCATCTGAGCGGCCCCTCCCCACTCTGCTTGTTTGATTTAGTCCATTTCATTACTGTGTCCCCAGCCTTTGAGCCTATGTCAGGAACTGTGCTGAGTGCTGGGCATATAAACTGAGTTGGAGAGAAAAAAGTGAAAACAAATTAAAATAAGCACAAGAAATGTGCTCTAACAGAGGCTAGATTGGTTCCTACTACAAGAGGAGCATGGCAGAGGGGTCACGGTGGGAGAGCCCCAAGCTGTTTGGCACAGAGGACCTGGGATAGTCCCCAAGCTGTTTGGCCAGCCCCCTGCCTTGACTGTGGCAACTTGATGCAAGCCTTTGAGCAGTGACTCAGAGCAACCAGTGAGGGCTCAGGCCTGGATGCAGAGCCAGATGTTGGATGCGTATGGCCTGGTCTCTGGGACTGCGGGGGCACAGCAGTGGCAGCTAATGGCTATGCGCGTGCTTGGGTAGGCACTTCTGCTGTTTTGCTGACCCAGGGCATTGGTCAGATTGTCCAGCCAGCTTGAGATGTCTGGAGCCACCCTTCTTTCAAGCCAGGGGAAACAGAAGTGGCATAATACCGATAGCTGTTGTTACTGAGTGCTCACTATGTGCTAGGTGTTCCATTATGTGGTTGGAACACATCACTTCATATAGTCATCATAAGCATTAACTCCATAAAAGAGATACTGTTAGGGTTCTGGTTTCACAGGTAATAAAACAGACTGAGAGGTCGTTACTTGTTTAAGATCACAGAACAGGTGAGTTGCAGAGCTAGAATTTAAACCAATATTTGTTTGACTTCAAAACCCATACCTCTATCTCTGCAAATCCTCAACCTGGAAGCCATGTCTCTATGATTTATATTGTGGATTAATTTCTTGTCTACTCCTTCCCTTTGCAAATGCAATCCCCTGAAAAATTTGGAGTGCTTGGGCCACAGTGGGGTCATCATCTCAGGCCTCATCATCCCCTTCAGCTCCAGCAGCTTCCCTCCTCTGGGAATCAGCTGCCTGAGCATCTGCCCGCTCCTCCTTCACCTGCTCCTCCTCACTCTTCCCCTCCAGCCGCTCCCGCAAGGCCTCCCTGGCAGCCCCTTCCTTGTCATTATGATGCTAATCATGGTGTTAATTTTTCTGAGATCCGGAAAGAAAGCCCCAATCTGTTCTAATGAATTTAATTAGAGAGGGGCTTGGAGGGCTTCAGAACGTCTTACCCAGATCACAATAAACAGAGTTAACGAGATAAACAGCCTAGGATCAGCTTCTCAGGGGTTGACAAGGAGGATTTCTGTCTCAGTCCTTCTTAAAGAAGTCCTGAGCAGGCACAGAGTTGGAAAAGACTGTTGTCTTTCAAGTGGGCTCCTTTTCGATGCATTTTTCTGTGTGCCCTACCCAGCCCACACATTTAGCTTCACACACAGTTCTGCCCTTAGTTGGCAGCTGAACTTTCT